AAAAAAAAAAAAAAAAAAAGTCACTTCTATTTACTAGCAATACATTTCCTTTAATATCATTTTCTAGCCCACAAGGACAGAAGTTCAGATCCAAAACTTCACTTGCTAATTATCTTCACAAAAATGGAGAGACTTCTCTTAAGCCAGAAGATTTTGATTTTACTGTACTTTCTAAAAGGGGCATCAAATCAAGGTATAAAGACTACAGCATGGCAGCTCTGACATCCCAACTGCAAAATGAAAGTAAAAATTCAAACCGGATCCTCAGGACACGAAGCAGGTTCAAAAAAGATGTGTTTCCTCTGCCGAATAGTAGCTTGGAGTTGCAAGACAGCAAAGGACTATCTAACTTTAGTTCCACTCATTTGCGTTTGGAAGAAGGTGAGAGTATTAATAATGTTAACTTCAGAAAGCTTAGAAAGCCCAAAGGAAAGGTGACTATTTTGAAAGAAATCCCAATTAAGAAAACTAAAAAAGGATGCAGAAAGAGTCTTTCAGGTTCCACTCAAAGTAATAGAAAAAGAGAATCTGTGTATAAGAAAGCAGATGCTGAAAATGAGCCTGTTGCACAGGAAGGCCAGCTTGATAGAACGTTCTGCATTTCTGACGCCAGAGCAAGCTACAAGACCTTCGGTGTGACCAGTGAAGAGAAGAACCTTGTAAAAGAAAAATCATTGAGTTTAGGATCAAATTTAGGTTTTGAGCAAATAACTCCTGTCACCATAAACAAACTATGTTTGACCAAAGAAGCTGAACACGATGAAAAGTATGAGGATACCTTTTCAAAATCTGAAGAAATCAGAAGAAAAGTAGAAGTTGGGGAAAGGAAGGAATGTTTGCATATTGACATTTTAAAATGTGGCTCTGAAATGGACAAGAACTGCTCACCAACCAAGAAAGACTTCACTTCTGAGAAAGCATTTCAAGGTATACCATACCTGAAAACACTGTTAAACATTATATGATAAGGAGTTTATACTCCCGCATCTCATGTTTCATGGCTGTATGTGGTAAAGATGTGGGAACAGAGCCAAGAAATAGGGCCCAATACCAGATACCTTGTCTAACTGATCTTGGGGCCCTTTCCTGTGGCAGAAAATCAGCTGGCTACTGTCATGATGCCCAGCAAAGGAGAGTTGTGCTGTGAACAGCTGCCATCATTTCCCTGGTGCAACAGCTGGGACTCTCCTCAGCAGTGCTTTCCCTTCTTTCTATCCTGTTTCCAGCCAGTAAAAATTAAAAGGCTTCACTTGTGAAAAATTTGGGGAAGACTCTGTTTATACATAAACCAGTTGAGAATAGTTTGTGTCTTCTCTTAGCACCCCTCCTGCTACTTACTACTAATATGTGACTTCCAATTTAATTTTGTATATATCATAGTCATTTCTATCTTCTGTTGTAATGCTTTTCTAAAATGTTTTAGAGCTCTAAATAATTCAAAAGTGTAATCACATAGTTCATCTATTATTTGTAATATGCTCTTAATACAGAATTCAGAGCTTCAGTTTTGCCTTTATAATACCTCAGTGAATAAGAGATAAAAAGGAGACCTTTTTAGCAGACCTGTTTTAGTTATTCATTATGCCATTGTGGCATAATGAATAACTCCTTTTAAAGAAAAATAGTAATATTACTTAAAATCCTGTGGGAAAACAGCCTGCACAGATTTGTGGAGCAGAGGATTAGGCTCAATTCCTGCTCTCAGTCCTACTCATGATTTTATGTCTTTTCTGTGCCTGGAATTTCTCTGCCTTTAACAAAAAATAGCCATATATACCTAGGAACTGCATAAGAATTCTTCAAGTCTGTCCTTTAAAGACTTTGAACTTCTTAAAGAAAACTTTGAGGTTTATGTAGATTTATTGCTAGCATAATGGACAAATTAAATATTAAAAACATTCTTTTGTGGCTAAGATGGAAATATCCTATTCATCCTATACTTAAAGAAATCTAGTTCTCAACATAAGATGAGGTATCATTAGGTTATTAGGTGTCTAATGGAATAGTAAAAACCTCCCTTTGCAGCTGGGCACTGTGGCTCACGCTTATAATCCTAGCACTTTAGGAGGCCAAGGTGGGAGGATCGCTTGAGGCCAGGAGTTCAAGACCAGCCTGGGAAACATAGCAAGGCCCCATCTCTACCAAAAAAAATTAGCCAGGCATAGTGGCACATGCCTGTAGTCCCAGCTACTCAGGAGGCTGAGGCAGGAGGATCACTTGCTCCCAGGAGTTCAAGGTTTCAGTGAGCTATGATCATGCCACTGCACTCCAGTTTGGGTGACAGAGTGAGACCCTGTTTCTTAGGAAAAAAAAAAAACTCCCATTGGCTTAGCTAGAAGTTGCCAAATAAACTAATAATAAAGGAGGCTAGTTAGTGATTATTTATAAGAATCTGCAGAGAAAGTTATCAAATAACTAGTAAAGCAGGTTCCTTTGTTCTCTTTTTTATTCTCCCCTGGGCTTTACCTATTCGAACTAGATAGCAAAAATCATTGGACTAATGTCATGTTTTTGGAGACCTGGAGAGTTGTCCCAGTCTTAGTTAATTCCAGTATCATTTTTGGATGGTTGCTTAATTTTGAAGCTTTAGTTTCTTCCTCTGTAAAAGGGAGGTAATAACCCTCACTAGTCCTGTTTTTTGCATCAATAATATTGTAAGGTAAAATGAGAAGTGAAAAAGATAGCTTCATGCTAAACAGATGAAAAGTATTATTAACCGATATTCAAATTTAGAGGCTGTGGCTAAAGAGAGTGTGAAATGTGATGATTTTAGAAATTTGAGAAGTCTGATAACACTGGTTCCCAGTAGACAGAGCTTCCCAAGTGGTCAGTGGTCTTAAGTGTTCCAGGGTTCAAATCTTATGTGATTCTGCAGGTTCTGTTTTATTTATATCCCTTTTTTTGGTAAGTATAAAAGTGGCTCACACCTGTAATCCTAGCACTCTGGGAGGCCGAGGTGAGCGGATTGTTTGAGCTCAGGAGTTCCAGACCAGCCTGAGCAAGAGCGAGACCCCGTCTCTACTAAAAATAGAAAGAAATTAATCGGACAACTAAAAATATATAGAAAAATTAGCCGGGCATGGTGGCGCATGCCTGTAGTCCCAGCTACTCAGGAGGCTGAGGCAGGAGGATCGCTTGAGCCCAGGAGTTTGAGGTTGCTGTGAGCTAGGCTGATGCCACGGCACTCTAGCCCAGGCAACACAGTGAGACTCGGTCTCAAAAAAAAAAAAAAGAAAGTTCAGTCCTTAACCTCAAGGACATTATCTCTGTCTAGTTAGCACAGCACAAAATAGTGGTTAGGAAGTGGCAGATGATAAGGATGCTGCAGGAATTCAAAAAGAAGCGCAGTCACAACTGGGGTTGTTAGGGACTTTCCTGTCCCTTTCTGCAGTTCTCCCGATCCTGCCCCATCACCATACATGTAGGGAAGGTGTCTTTCTAGAAGCTGACCTGATATGTGGGATGTTGTATTCTTCAGACGAGTATCTGACAAAGCAGTGGAAGTATCCGATTGAGCTTCACGGGATTGGTAAATATGGCAATGACTCTTACCGAATTTTTTGCATCAATGAGTGGAAGCAGGTGAGGCCCTCTCCCCACCATAACATGTTGAGCACGTTTGGTCTCTGAGGCAAATTAAGTTCATCATTACAGCTAAAACTATTTATTGAACACCAGTGCTGTCACAGTCCCAACCAATTTTGTTCCCAGCTTGAGGGGCAGCAGGTGACATAGAGTTTTTGGCAGCAGGGAGAGGACCCACAGACACTCTCAAGTCCACAAAGACCTGTTGGCATGGCCTCTGACTGACCTGCAGTGTTTCGTCACTTCTGACCCTGTTCCTATCATTCCTCATTCATCTACTCTCTCTAAGCCTGCCATGGTTTTCCTCCTGTCAAAAGTCCACCACTAAAGGCAAGCAGGCAGGTTTGGGCTTTGTATGTTTGTTGGGTTTCTCCTAGTGGTCTCAGACTGCCTTTGTGGTAACTGGGTCCTACTTCAGCTGCCTGTTCTCTTGAACATGCCCAGCCCACAGGCATCCTGGTGGCATCCTGGCAACTGGTGGGTGGCTGGCCTGGTACACTGCCCTCTCAGCTGGTGACTCACCCTACAGCATTCAGCCAATAGGTCTGGCCCCAAGTGTGAGACGAAGGACACAGTGCTGTCCCTGCTCCATCAGAGCAATCCATTTAACCTCTCAGAGTCTGTAACCTCTTTCTGGAAAATGAGGTATTAATACTTGACTCCTGTCACCACCCCATGCTCCAGGTTGTGATGAAGATCAGTACTAATTGGAAAGTATTTTGAACAGTATTGCTTTAATATAAGGTATAATTTAAAACATTTTTAAATCCCTTTAGGTTAAAGGTTATAATTTTTTGGTATATTATCATAATGTACTGTTCGCCAGCAAACCTTTAAAAAGCCAATTTTAAAAAATGTTATTTCTTACTAATTTATATAAGGCCTCCATATCCTAATGTGTTGTATTTCTTCCAGGTGCACCCTGAAGACCACAAGTTAAATAAATATCATGACTGGCTTTGGGAAAATCATGAAAAATTTAGTCTGTCTTAAAACTCTTTGAAGTTTTCAAACTTGTCTTTTATGCATTGCTTTGCACTTCAGTTCTTAAGAGCTCCCATTAAGCACAACCAGCCATCTTTCCAGCCATGTAGATTTTAATTAGCCTGACCAGATGCTCGGCTGTGTATCTTGTTGATGTGTGTGCCACTGGTGGATCTTTGTTACTGAATGT